ATATAACAAATAAAATAAATAAAATTAATAAAATAAATAAATCAAATATATCAAATTTATCAGATTTATCAGATTTATCAAATAAATCAAGAAAATCAAGAAAATCAAGAAAATCGAAAAAATCAAGGGATTTACAAAATGATCTACAAAATTGATCTACATAAAATTACTGCGCCACATTTCTATTTTAACAATAGGAAGTTTATGAAAGAAAAAAATTTTTTTAACGCTACTTTTTATTGAAGTAATTTCTTAATATCTGTCATATGATCATGTAGCACAAGTGTGATCATTTTTGCAAAACTTAATTTACCTAATTTTTATTAAATTATTGTCAAATTCCTTAATTTAGACGAATTTTGTTAATTCCGCAAATCGGCGGATATGTTTTTTCTTTATATATAAGTATATATTTTTAAATATAATTTCAAATATAAAGCTAAATATATATAAATGCATATACTTACTTAAAATTTGGTGCCTTTTCTAAAGAAATAAAAAATGTTTTATATATGGTAAAATTTTTGTATAACACTCACAGATTCCTGTATAACAATTGCAAATTCCTGTGTAATTATATATATGACTTTTAACTTGCATGTATGCATCATTAAATGATATTATACAAAAGTTTAAAAAGTAAAATTTACTCTATATTAATATAAAAATTAGTATTAAATCAACTTTTGATAAAGAAATTTATATAAAGATTTATTTTATGATTTTATACTTTTTCCCAAATTTTATTAATTAAATTCTTTACTTTTTAGACAGATTACAAATTAAAAATACTTAAAAATATATTTAATTTTTTTTCTTTATTTTTTAGTTACTATTAACTTTAATCTTGGACTTAAATTTGAATTGGTAAATTTTAAAGCTTCACTTTGAAACTATATTTAATATTTTTTTTTTATATTTATATTTTATATTTAATTTTATTTTTTTATTTTGTAAGTACCAATACTAGTATTGGGCAATTAGATAATTGGACGTTTTGAACATTTGTCCAAAACTTGTCCAAAATTTGTTCAAAACTAAAACCTTTTTTCATTAGACAGGTTTTGGACAGATCACATAACAAAAAATTTAACTTTGGCTAGAATTATAACTAATTTTAGCTAATTTTAATTTTAGTTCAATTATTAAATTACTTCAAAAATCTTTAAATAATATTATTTGATTTTACATTAATTTTTTATCATTTAATTTATTAAATATTTACTTTTTTAACATTTTAATATTATATTTTTATTTTATTTTTAGTTTCAATTGATGAATATTAGGATTTTTGAGCAGTTTTAAACAATTCAAATCTATATCCAAAACTATATCCAAAACTGATTTTGGACAATCCAAAATTATCCAATTAAAAAAACCAATTGGACAAGTTCAAAATCCAATACTGCCAATACTAAACTTTAAATTTAATTTGAATAATGTAATGATAAGTTTCAAAAAGTTTCATTTTAAAATATTTTTTTAATATTTAAAAGTATTTAATTTTTTTTCTTTATTTTATAGGTCTATCAATTTTGATCTTAACTTGAATTTGAATTGGTAAAGTTTTAAAAATATAAGAATATTATAATATTAGTAAATATATATCATCAGGAAATTTTATAGCATGAAAAATTGCGTAAGTTTATGATTTTGTAAATTTACAAAAGTTTATGGCATAATATTTCGAAAAATTTCAAAATATTACATAAGTTTACAATTTCATAAGATTTATGTGATATTACGGTTAAAATATTACACAAGTTTTCAATATCGTAAGATTTATGCAATATTACGGTCAAAATATTCTGCAAATTTACAAAACTGTAAATCTGCGTAATATTACGGTTAAAATATTTTAAAAATTTAAATCTGCGTAATATTATAGTTGAAATATTTTGAAAATTTACGAGATTGTAAACCTGCGTGATATTACAGTTAAAATATTTCAAAATTTATGAGACTGTAAACCTGCGTAATATTATGGTTGAAATATTTCAAAAATTTACAAAACTGTAAACCTGTGTAATATTACGGTTAAAATATTTTGAAAATTTACAAGATTGTAAACCTGCATAATATTACTATTTGATCGTTAAAGTTGCGTATACAGTAGAACGTATACAAAGGCATGTGATACTATTGAATAATCAAAAATAATATAAACACCTTTTCTTTTAAGTTTGGAAAAGCAAATTTATTTTTATTTACGAATTTTTTATTATTTACAATTTTTATATTAAAAATTAAAGTAAATTCTAATTTTTATTATAACTTAATAAAAAAATACACATTTGATACTTATTCGCTATTATTTTATAAAATAGTACCTAGGCTGTACGGCGTGAATGTCAGTATCAGTCACAGTCCAAAAAAAACGTGAGTCTCCAGCCGATATTTGGTATGGATTGGCCTAGCTACTTACTTAATAAATAAAAAAATAAAAATAATTATTTTCTATGATATATAAGTAAGTTTCTCCTTCTCCTACAATTATTACAGATGACTAAAATTGATCAAATTTATCAAATTTAAAACATGAACGTAAATATTAATTATAAATTTTATTATAGTACTAGGAAACGGGAACCGTTGAGCGTCCGAAGTATTCAGTATAATTGCATAATTATATGATCATAAATAATTGTACAAAAAAAAATTGTACATTGCCGATCATATTAAAAATTCTTGTGTAATATTCGTCTAAGATATCTCACTAAAGACTTTTGTTCTAAGTCACAATATAATCAGTTTTCACTCTTAATATAATTTTTTTAATAGTATTTCTATCAAAATAAGTAAAAGTTTAGCCCTTTCTGCTTAAAGTTTTACTTATTTATTTATTAAAGTTTTATTAATATCACGGAGTTACACGGTTACGTGCTTGCATATTATTTTTTAGCTACGCAAATTGCAAAATCAATATTAATATATTATCTGTAATATGTGGCTAAATTTGTATATATGTAACACAAAATTTCATTCGTCGATCAGCTATAGTACAGAACGACATTGCATTTGAAATGCGTAGAAGTAGAATATCCTCATACTTCGGACAATAATTACCTGGCCTCTCCTAAAATTTTGTTCTAAATTCGCAATAATATCTTTGGTCGGTATGCGTTTACAGCCACCGCCCAGAGTTTTCATTATGATAAAGAACATAGTTCTAAATATCAAAATCAGTTTGAATATTTGATAAATACATTTAATTTATATAAATGTAATTTTATTTATTTACTTACATAGTAGTTCCTGATGAAGTTCCTCTACTTTTGGCTGCACTGTTGTCCAGAAACCCTCGTATGAAATATTCTATTTATTCTGATTCAATTAAATGGATTGGTTAATAATTTGAATTTAAATTCTTTCTTAAAGAAATTATAGATATTAGTCATATAAACCTATTGGCAACAGAGTCCCAAAAATCATGGTGGCTTTTACCATTAATATTGTGGTAGGTGCAGTTTCTGTCTCGGCGTATGTCAACCAGCTCATTCATCATAACCCAGTTCCAATGGATGTTATAGTAAGAATGATGTGAACGTGTATGGTGAGGCATTATTAGATTAGATTTGATTTTTATAATTTAATTTTGGGATGAGTAAAAATTTGGGTAAAAAGAAAGTCATAAAATGTCACTTTAAATAAAATTTGAACAATACCTCTTTGGTTTAATTTTATTTCTCGTTTCAATTAAAATTTAATTTATTACACTTTTCATTATTAAACATATTAATTAAATCTTATGCGGATATGGATTATCTAAATATAAATATCATAAAAATCTTAGTTTGATTTCAGTTTCATTTCAATTAAAAATAATTGAAAATTATGTACAGTTAGACCCCCATATAGTCCACTACCTAATTGGTTTCCATAAAATCAGTGATTGTATAGGGGTGTGCTTATATACAGGTACTATATCTTAATTTTGGCTGAAATTAGTAAATTATAATTTATAAAATTATGTGATCACTACGGATATTTCCTTTTTTAGTGATAGCCGTTTCACAAAAAATTTTTTTGCCGATTTTGTGTTGGAATGTCATGTAACATTAATTTCTAAAAAGGAAAGAAAAAATTATATGTTTCGTAATTCTGGGCGAAATTGCTTTTTGGCCGAAATTATGATGTAATTAATAAAGGTCTAATCATTAATAGAAATGATATATCCGTTTGGAATTATGCGGTGATAGTGATTATAGTCAAATTGTGATTATAGAGGGGTAATTTGATAGTATTTAAAACTGTTTCTTAAAATCGAGTTCTTATAAAGAGGTGTGACTGTATAGGGTATGACTGTATGGGGTCTGACTGTATATGTTTAATTGTTTTAAATATAAATATCAATATATCATATTTAAAAACAAAACAATTTATTATTAGCACATTCTATTGAATTTAAAAAAATCAATTTTTTTTTTTAAAAAAAAAATCATCAATATATCATATTTAAAAATAAAACAATTATATTCTGATTAAATATTTTGCATACATTTCTTAAAAAAATCATAAAAAAAATCTTGTACATCGTACATGCAATTATTAAATATCATCCCCTTGTAATAAATAAAAAATTATGCAACACACAACACAAATTTAATAAATTTAACGAAATTTGACTAAAATTAATAATTTTTTACCAGAATTATCAACATAAATTGAACACAAATTAAATACAAATTTCAATCACAATTTATTTATGTCACACCCGTGTTGTTAATAATTAAATAAATAAATATGCATTTTATTTATAATATGGGAAACGTGACCATAAATTCTTTTAAAGATATAATTTTATTAAAATAAATCAAAACCCCTATATCAAATGACTAAAAAATATATTTATTTGCAAAATATTCATTTTGCTTATCAAATCAGGGTACTATGTGAACGACATTATGTATAGACTCTATAGCTACAAAGTTATATAATTCTATCAATTTTAAGTGAGGACATCCATATAAATATAGGTTCCTTTTAGATTTAAAATCGTATCATTGAATTAATGCGAGATTTAGCGGTGGGTCTGTTAATACTTCTGCTAACAATAAGGCCTATAAATAATAAATATTTATTAATACTTTTATAATAAATTATTACATAAATTGGAAAAATACTGTCCATAACAAAGTCATTTGTCTGATATATAATCATTTGATCATATGGGCTGATTTGTCTACCTTTAATTAAAATATTGATTTTATTACATTTTTATTATACAAAATACTATATAATATACAGTAAATTGGGGTGAGTATTAAAAAACTTTTATTTAATGTTATTATACTATAAGTTGGTAAATATTTCTTTTAAATTAATATAATTCTTAGCACTTACTATATATATTAAAAATTTGTATCTCAACTTTAAATGTAAATATCTCCAGTTCTAATGATCCAATCGGCAAGCTTTTTTTTCGCTCATATAGACCAGATCAAGGGCTTTCCGAAGAGCCTAAATTTATAAATAACGGATCAGTGGATCCCAAGATATTTGCATTTAAGCATGTTAAAAAGTTCATACCTCAACTTTAAACGTAAATATCTCTAGATCTAATGGTTCAATCAGCAAGCTCTTTTTTCGCCTATAAAGTCCAGAACAAGGGCTTTCCAACGAGCCTAAAATTATAGAAAACGGATCAGTGAATCTTGATATATTTGCGTCTAAAGATGGTAATACAAATTCTGACATAAAATAATTATTTTTAGAAAAAATGTATTTGTAACAGCCTGTTACATATCTTATTTGTAACATCCTTTTTTTTATTTTTTTTTAATAATAAATTTAATATGTGTTTCACAAATAAAATTTTTATATGCAAAATTTAATTTGGAAAACTTTTACTTAATGTACTTANAAACCGTGTAATGAAGACGTTATTTTCTTTAATTCGCTATGGAAAGATTCTAACAAATTCGTTGATGTGACCTGTAAAAGCAGGGGGGAATGTTGACGAGCCCATAAGCCCCATTTCTCCGTATTTTTCGTATAATTTCTTTTAATGTAATTTTGTATATAAGGAACGGAACAATGATTAATAGCATCCTGAACAAGATTTTCACATCCAATCTTTGTTCTTTTATGCATCACCACGATCATGGTGTCTTGAGTTTTTTTTTCATTAATTTTTTGCATCCACGTTCTCATGACATGAACAACACAAAGGAGGACTTGGCACTCTTGTTCACCAGCATCTATGCCAGGAAATGTCTTTTTAATGCTCTTAGCTTCGATGTTACTATGATCCGCAAGTATGTAACGGGGACTAACGACAATACTTATTGCGGATTATTGTTAAAGCTTCTGCAACTGTATCTGCATCCTCATTGCTTACGAAAAAATGGGTGCCTACGTTCCAACATCCGAAAGTGTCACGAACGTAAAGAGTAAATAGACGCCAGTCGTACCGGTTGGTCTTATGTGTTGAATCTATAAGCGTCAACCATCCATGGCGTTCAAGTTTCTTTAGTTGCTCTAGGTGCACAAACACGGTACCTTTAGTAGATCGTTAGGAGACGCGGAAATTTTCAACAAGATACCCCTGTTCTGTTAAAAAAGAAACAGATTCCAAAATGTCTGATTTTAAGTTCGAATTCCCAATAAAACGGGTTTCCGTAGGCCCACGAATTTTGTATTTAATGTTCGTTACTTCTTTGCGCTTCAGCTCGCGCGCACATTCACCAAAATCTAATTCTAACGTCGCGTATTCTTTGACGGCAGATGTGATAGCTGGAGGAGGATAATTTTTGGCCGCTTCTATTTCAACTAAACTTCTAATGACTTTTGGCTGTTTCAGCCTATCGACTTCTGATAAAGAATGTGTATGGTTGGGGGAGTTTTTATATCGCTCTACTTGAACTACCTCTGAAGAAGCTATCCATAAAACTTTAATCATCGCAGAACATACGTCAGGTGGTCATGTCTTGGTTATTCGGCGTTTTTCGTTTGGAACATTTTCTTTTTCTCAGGTACTTGATTCGTGGTGCTTCATAAAACGACAGGCGAAAGTTTTCCAAATATCACCATTTACATATTCATACGAGTCCCATTTCATCCAAATATTTGAAACTAACGGCCACCACTCATCATTAAAAACCTCCATTGGGATTTCTAAAGTACGGTCTACATCAAAAAGAAGATCCTGCTTTTCGTTTGGTGTGAGATTTGATGTTGACGTTATAATTAAAGGAGCGGGAGCTGAAAACACAGGAGTAACAGTTAATGGAAAAGACATAATAAAGTGAAAAGTTTTTTTTACTTAGAAAATGAGTAAAATGCGCGATGTTGTAATGTTGATACCAATTAAACCAATAATCGTTTGTTATTTTCGAGAAATCACGGGAAACTTCCGGCTAATCCCGAAATCGTATCACGTGATTTGCCCCCGCTTTAGACAACCCCCAAAAATGGAGGGGTGCGCACATGCGTGAGTGCGTACAAATTTTATTTCCTTTTAATAATATATGTTAAAAATTCCATATATATAAGAAATGGGTTTTTTATTAGTGAAATGGGTTTTTTCACACCTTTTTTACATTTAATAATTTAAGTTTCGCAAATGTAAATTTTTGTTCAATTTATTATTTAGTTAAGTGATCATCAATCAGATGATTTTTTGGTATTACAAAACAATTTTGAGTAACAAAAATTGTGCAAATCAATTCAATAACTCTTTTTAATGCAGAGTAGACAAATCAGCCCATATGTTCTTCAGAATCCATTGAAATAGCTATGTCGCTAAACCATACTTTATTATGATATCTATTTGTAGCACGCATTATGACACCATTTTCCAGTGTTACTGATTCGTATATATTTATTTGGGTTTCACCAATAATTGTAAAACCATCAAGTAAATCTAAATATGAATCCAGACAACTCATAAATCTAGCAAAACCGGTCTGCATTTTATTGTCTACGAAATCTTTTTTTTCATTAAAAAATGTATTTGCATTTTGCATCTTATAAAGAGACTGAATACTAGATAAAAAGTAATATAAAGAAACTAATTTTTTCTTATTATTATTATTTGTTTTATCAGATTTGGTATTAGGATTGGTTCCTTGATATAATTCATCAAAAAACCCAATTAAATCTACATCACCCATTTCTAACATATTTTTAAATTTATCAGAATCATAAATTGTTTTTTGTTTTAATATTTTTTGATTTTTATAAAGAACACTAGACATTTTTTTAATCTTATCACTTAAACTGTAATTATTAATTATGCCATCATTTCTTGATAATCTGATTCAATTTGTTTTAATTCTTCACCAGTATATAAAACATCTTTTCTGAATGAATAAGTATAATTTCTTACTTTTAAAATATTATCACTGTCATCTTGTTTTCTGGAAATTGGTGCATTGTATTCTTCTAACATATTATAATCAGGATCACTATCTGTCTTTTTTCTGCACAAGCTACAAATTTTAGCATTTTTATCTAAATTTAAAATTGGAATTAATCTTTCTGAAACTTTTCTAGGTTAAGGTTTTTTGATTATTTATCTGAATTTTTTGATTGACTTTTATATTCATTATGCTTTGGATGAGAACAAGTTTCATTATTTTTAAGGTTATGAGCTTCATTAATAATAAATTTATTATAGTGAGTTTAATATAATTTCATACCAGCTAGAATAAATTCTTTTTGTGTTATTGAAATTCTTGTATTATTAGTAATTGATTTAATTGTTTCTTTACAATCAGTTGAATTAAAACTGCAAGTAGATTCTGTTGACATTTTTTGAATAAATTTTTTTAAAATTTTAAGTTAAAACAAACTGAAATGTTGTTTATATCTTAGAAGTTGGAAAAATAATGCTATTAATAAATAGTAATATAATTTTATATTAAGAATAATATTAATTTTTATAAATTTTTTTGTGAATTTTAGAAGAACTATTTATAAAAAAATGAACAATATAATTTTAATCATTTTACTTTATTTATTGTTAATAATAAATTCTTAAAATAGCTCATAAAAGTTTGTCATAAATTAGCCCTATTAATCTTATAATAATTGCAAGTATTTATTTAATGATAACTTTTGGGTTATCAAAAATTATTCAGGTTTATTTTAATCACTAATTCTTGAATATCTAAATAGCATACTGTGAAAGTTTCAAGTTTAACCCGAAGTTCTGTGGCTTGGCCCAAAGCTTCAAAGTCAAATTAGCAGATGATCAGCATACAGTATATATGAATTATTGAAAATTTCAGCTTAAAGCTAAATTTGGAACCACATTTTATTTTGCCACAATACTTTTATATTTAATTATTGATAACCTAAATTATTAAACAAAACAGTTAAATATAATTTTTAGAACATTTATGGCTTGAGATAAGACTTCAAAGTTAATGTGATATCACATTTATTATGATCGGCAAATGATTAACATGTGATATAGGGTATGTCTGCCCTGTTAGTGTGACATAAATAAATCGTGACTGAAATTTGTGTTCAATTTGTGTTCAATTTGTGTTGATAATTCTGGTAAAAAATTATTAATTTTGGCCAAATTTCGTTAAATTTGTTAAATTTATGTTGAATTTGTGCTGGTAATTTTTATTTATCACGAGAGGATGAATTGTATTTTCTAGCCAATTAAATTAAGCTGATCCTTGTATGTGTTTTAATCTGCATGCATTTTTTGTCCTATTTATTTTTTGTCTCTTTATTTTTTTATTTTTTTATTCAATATTTTTCTCTTCTTTTTATTATTTCTTTATTCTTTTGTTCAATATTTTTTAATTATATACAGAATATTTACTTATATTTCATAATTTATTGCTTTGCAGGTATAGAAATATTTGTTTATCAATACTAATTATTTCATTATTTTTTACTTTTTTTTTACTTTGTATTGTAATACTGACAATAATATACATGTTTCCTTTATTTCTTTTTACTTGTACTTTAATACTAATTATACTAACAATACTAACTATGTTTTTTTACTCCTTTTATTTTAATACTAGCAATATGTGTTTATTTTTTTATTTTGCCTCCTCTTTCTTTTATTTCTTTATTCTTTTGTTCAATATTTTTTAATTACATACAAAATATTTACATATATTTCATAATTTATTGCTTTGCAGGTATAGAAATATTTGTTTATTAATACTAATTATTTTAATATTAACGCATTTTTTTACCTCTTTGTTACTTTATATCGTAATTAGTATTCTGCATGAATCGATTCATAACATGGTATAACCCTGATTGCTCCTCAATAATAAAAACGTATTTTGCGAATAACTTTTGATCTAGCGGTCCGATTTCAATGATTTTTTTTATTTTGATCAGGGCAATGAGACCTATCAATTAAAAAAGATTATCAAAATTGGATTACTAGATCCTGAGATAATAATTTTTGGAGGTCAAATCGAGTCTAAATCGAATCGAATTTTAAAGAAGAAATTTGATTCGTGTAAAACACTGATTGTAATACTAATAATACTATCTACGTTTTTTTTATTCCTAATACTAACAATAATATCCATGTTTCTTTTACTTTTTTACTGTTTATTTAACTCTTTTTATCTTAATACTAACAACACTAATAATATTTCCTTTATCTTTGTAACTAATACTAATATTAATACTAACATTACTATAGCTGATTCTTTTTTTTACTTTTATATATTCTGTATATATTAATAAATATTTGTAATTTTTTAAAATTATATCTAATAAAATATACATTATATAAATTTACCAAAATTTGTGTATTACTATTATAAAGTGAAAATGAAGTATTATTTATTAAAATATTTAAAACATTATGAAATAATACATTATGTAAAATCACAGAATATTACAAATGCGTCAAATTATGGAGTATTACACATCATAGAATTTTGAATATTTTAAAAAGTTGTGAAGTATTACACAATAAAATTACAGAATATTATGAACTGTAAAATTACGAAGTTTTGCATATTGTAATATTTCAAAATAGTAAAAATATATTTTCTGATAACAAAGAATTTAAAAATATAATTCGTATTAGCAGTGTAGAATTTAATTTAGAATACTAATTTTTATTTTTTGTAGGAATAAGGGAGATCTGATGGAATAAATTGTTTTGATGTGAGGCCGTTGGGACTCATCTTTGAAACTGCATTTAGCAGACTGAACGTTATTACATATTTCCTTCTTTTCTCCTACATATTAAATTAGAATTCTTAAAAGTTAGGTTTCATAAATAGGTAGTCTGCTAGTTTTATTTTATTTTCATTATGGTTTAGGAAGTAAGTATTTATTTTTTTAGGTATATTTGTAATGTGTTTTTTTTAGTTATAGTTTATATTCTGTTATAGGATTATCTCGTGATTTGCATGAATGGCTCTATGTATCTTTTTATTGATTACATGATAATTCTATCATCATAACTAAATAAAGATGCGTTACAGTTTTTTAAAAAAAAAAAATAATATTTCAAAATATTTTAAAAAGCTACAAAATATTACACTTACGTACACTTGCAATGGGTCTGAAAACTTGCGAAATGCTATGTAAAATTATGAAATATTACAAATCGTAAAAATTACAAAGTTTTGCATACAGTAATATTTCAAAATATTTTAAAAAGTTGTTTACACAAAGTTGTAACAGGTCTGAAAACTTACGAAATATTATGATACGTAAACTTGTGCAACTTTTCGCACTATAAAATTTCCTGATAGAGGTATTTTTAAAATTTTGTAATCCTACATACCCCTGTTTAGAGCTCTGATCAGTTCGGTTCAGTACGATTTTTGCCAAAACTGAAACTGAATTGAATTGATCAGTAACGGTATTGCTAATTACCAAAACTGATCAGTTTCAATAATCATAAATACCATTACCGACCAGTAATTACTGAAAACTGAACTGATTTACCAATTCATTATCGATTCAGTTTTAAAAATGTTTCGCAACATTTTTATTAAATTATTAAAAAAATGTTATGAAACATTTTTTTAAATAAATTAATTGCTGATCTGGCTGTTCGATGTATCACACATTTGATTGGCCGATCTACATAATTACGGCAATTTTTTTTTTTTATTTTTGAAAATGGAGACGGATAAGTGTCTCCAAAATTTTTTTTGTTTTTTTTATGTAAGAATGTTTATTAAACGTTCTTTTACTTCTTTTTTTTATAGATTTCGGCCAGAACTTGGAAATGGAGACTGGTGAGTATTTTTAAAAGGAGATAGCAAGTTTTTTTATGTTTTCTTATATAAGAACGTTTATTAATAACGTTTTTTTACTTTTTTTCTTTTTGTAGGTTTCAGCCTGGGAACTTGAAAATGAGGATTAGTAAATGTTTTTAAAAGGAAAAACAGGAGGAGGTTTTTTTGTTTTTTTTTTATATAAGAACGTATATTAATGTTCTTTACTTTTTTTTGTAGATTTTAGCCTGCAACTCGAAAATAGAGACTGGTGAGTATTTGGAAAAGTAGGGGTTTTTTTATTTCTTTATGTAAGAACGTTTATTAACATTCTTTTACTTTTTTTTTGTAGATTTTGGCCTAGAGACAGGTGGTGAGTATTTTCAAAGGGGAAAAGCAGATTTTTTAATTTTTCTTTATGTAAGAATATTTATTAATATTCTTTTGTTTCTATTTTTTTGTAAATTTTGGCCTGAAACTCAAATGAAGATCAGTGAATATTTTTAAAATTGGGATTTTTTTATTTTATTTATGTAAAAATGTTTATTAACGTTCTTTTACTACTTTTTTTTATAGATTTTAGCCCAGAATTTGGAAATAGAGATCAGAGGTGAGTATTTTCAAAGGGGGAAGCAGATTTTTTAATTTTTCTTTATGTAAGAACGTTTATTAACATTGTAATAACCGAAAATACAATAAAAAGGATAAATAATTAGCCGAAGGATAAATAGTTAACTGATGGGTAAATAATTAGCCAATAAAATTATATTTATAGTTTAGTTTAATATAACGAGATAGTCATATGATAATAGATCTTCAAATTTTATTAGAAAAAAGATAGTAAATATTAGAAATATTTTTCTTAAAATGTATAAATACAAGTGGATTTCGATAGGAAATTCAGTAGTCAATTTTTGGCCCAATAAAAATAATATTAAAATATTAATTATTAAAATTTATTCAATTATGAATATACTCATTGTACGCTTGAGAATTAATTAATATTATATTATTAAGTTCAAGTTTGAAGTTAAATTTTAAAAATAAATAAATAAAAATAATATTAATATTTTGATAAGAAAATAATGTTTTGTAATTTTTGTAATTAATTTTTTTTATTTTATTTCAAACCAAGCATAGATATTATTCGAACTCAACACGTCGGTGGCAACATATAATATTTTATTTTAATATCCTATGGGCGGCGTGCCACAACATTCTTTTACTTTTTTTGTAGGTTTAATCAAATTTTAATAAAATTTTAATTTACAGCTATTTTCTAAATTATTGACCTCCCCCCTGTTATTTTTAAAAAATTTTTCAGACACAGTCAGATGCAGTCAGATACAGTAATTCGGGCTGACTTATAGTGCCGGCCGGAATTATGAGTCATGTGGTTACACAAATTCCAAAAAAGGAAATTTTTGAATTTGCAAAAATCACAAAAAATATTTTGTGGAATGGGTATCACCCAAAAAAAAAAATAATATCGTGTTAAATTTCCTTTTTGGGTGATACCCGTTCTACAAAAAAAAAATATTTTTTGTGATTTTTGCAAATTCAAAAATTTCCTTTTGGAAT